ATAAATTACCATAATTATTACCAACCAAATTATTAGAATAGGTTAGGTTAGGTTTGAACGTGCGTCCTCACTGTTTCCTTTCTTCTCTTTGCTGGAATCAGAGACGAGCCACCATTTTACCCACCATAGGTAACATTATCCAATTGTGCAGTCTAAAGATTGGTGACACTTTGAATTTCATAGCAATTGGTTTCTGCGACAAGCACACCTATTTGTGGTACATTTATTTGTGGCAAAGATCTTATTTTCACTTTACCGAGTGCCTAGTAGGTAATGTGCGGATTACCTAGATACTCTGCACATTATCTAGGTAATTTGAGAAATGGAACAGTTTTCATAACTTTAAAGGATCACCCTAGTTAATCTGCAGATTAACGACTTTCGAGCTTTAGCGGTAACGTATACATTATATATCATGATTCACACATGTTGAAAGCTTAAGAATGGACGACATTTATACATGAATAGAGAGCAGTGGTGCACCCAGGGAGTGGGCCAAGGGGCCTTCAAAGTAAAAGGAAAGGAACACTAGTAAATTTTCCAAAAAATATTTTTCTAGTTAAAATTCACTTTTTTATTTATATTGTGTTCTGTGTTCTATTTCTATATTACTCATGAATTAGCAGTCATATCAGGTGGGAATTTTGTTGAGTTTGCATAAAAATTTTTCTACTCATTCAACTTGGCTCCCCAAAGATTAAATCTTGAGTGAACCACTGATAGAGAGAAGTGTAGATGAATGCAGAGAAATATGGCAAGAACCATATTACTTGATGTCAAATACAATTGTCTGTAAGTAGTGTAGGATTTTACAAATCAAAGATGTAAAAATAAGTATTTGTTGAAAAAAATACATAAACCAGTTGGACATAGTTGGAGAATGGATGGAAAGTATTTATCAATACCCAGTCAGAGAGACCTGTCAGTATGGAATATGTTTACTTTGAACTGCAGTGCAGCACTCACAACATCATGGCAGGCATGGCGACTTTATCTAGCTATCACTGTTATTAATCATGTTTCTCCTGAAGTTTTATATAAGTTCTCCTGAAGTTTTCTGTATATAAATACTAGAATGGTGACCAGGGCAAGATTCAGTCTGCTATTCTGGAGATTCAGGCTACAGTCTTGGTTAGATCTTCAGAAATTTTCTTGGTAGTTTGACATAGTATATTAAATCTATCCATTACAGCTCGATTGCTGCCATTCCAGTCCTCGTGCACTTTTCAAATCCTTTATGGATTTGAAAAGTGCTGGCTTAGTAGCAAAAAAGAGTTAAAAAATAAAGGCTAAATTAAGATTTCATTATGTGTATTGTATTATTTGTAAATAAATTAAATTTATCCTTAATTAAACTTATCAATTAATGTAAATTATTATCATTACAGGATTTGAAATCAATGAAGAGCAAGGAACAAAAAATGCTTGTGGAATGATAAAAGACATTTTTACCTGTAATATATGTGAAAAGAAATTTTTTGCAGTTCAAGAATTTATACTTCATATACAGGAACATTTAGGAAAACAAAATTTTGAATGCAAATTCTGTAAAAGGAATTTTATTTGGAATTATACTTTAAAGAGTCATCTGTTTATTCATGGGGGAGAGCAGCATGTTCATTGCGACTTCTGCAAGAAGAGAGCCAGGACGAAAGTTACGTTGAAAAGACAGTCGTGGAACAATTTCAAAAGGAGGTTTCGGCATAGAATTTGGATGAAAAGATATTCATATAAATTATTTTATAAACGTCATAGAATAATGCAAATTAGAACAAAGAGTTTCAGTTGTAATATCTGCAGGGAGAAATTTCTTCTGAGGTCTGATTTATTGGAGCATATAAAAGTGCATTTTGGAGGAAATCGCAGCAGAGAAGTGCTTAAGCCAGTGTTGAAAGTGGAAGACCCGGATGAAAAGCTCTATTTAGAACATCATCCTTTTCAGTGTGAATTGTGTGAAAAACGATTTACTGCTAAAACTTACTTATTACAACATCAGACATGCCATACAGAAGATCAAGGTTTTCGTTGTCACCTCTGCCCGAAAATTTTCCAATGGAAGTCTAATTTAATAAAACATAGGAAATTTCACAGTGGAGAAAGACCGCATCAGTGTGATATTTGTGGCAAAAGTTTCATGGAAAGAGCGCAATTAGGAGAACATAAAAAATGCCATTCTGACGAGAGACCTTATAGTTGTGATGTCTGTGGAAAATGTTTTAAGTCGCGATCGAACTTAAAATGTCATAAAAGATGTCACATTGAAGAAAGACCTTTTGACTGTATGATTTGTAAAAAGAGTTATAGGACATGGTCGGATTTAAACATTCATAGCAGGTGCCATTCAGGAAAAAAGCCCCACAAATGTGAGTTTTGTGGCAAGTGTTTTAGAGTTAGATCAGCTTTAAGTATTCACAGGAAAAGCCATTCTAAAGAGAGACCTTATCAGTGTGAGATATGCAAAAAGTGTTTCAAACAGAAATATAATTTAAAACAACATATGAAATGCCATTCTACAGAGAAACCTTTCCAGTGTCAAATATGTAATAAGAATTTTAGGGAAGAGAAACGTTTAAGGAATCATAAAAAAACACATTCCCAGGAGAGACCTTTTCAATGTGATCTCTGCAAAAAGTATTTTAAAGAAAAGGTATATTTAAAACGGCATCTAAAAGCTCATTTTCTTGAAAGAACCCACCAATGTAATTTATGCGAAAAAAGTTTTAAGTGGCCAAACAATTTAAAAAAACATCAGAGAAAACATTTTGAAGTGAAGAGTTATCCTTGTGAATTCTGTGATTTGAAATTTACAGAGAGGTCGGCTATGTTTCAGCATCGGAAATCTCATGCTGACGAACGGCCCTATCCATGCGAAATCTGTGGGAAAGGATTCAAAAATAAAAAGCACTTAAGACGCCATGTAAAGAGACATTCTCCAGAGTTGCCTTATCATTGTGAAATCTGCAATAAAAATTTCAAAGATCCTTCTTACTTTTCTAAACATGTACGAAATCATTCTTTAGGGACAATTTATCAATGTGAGTTCTGCACGGAAACCTTTACAGAAAAATTACTATTAATGGATCATGAAAAATGTCATTTTTATGACACAATCTATCAATGTACTCTTTGCAAAAAGAATTTTGGGAACAAAGCAAATTTGGCGAGGCATGAAAAATTACATTCCGAGGAAAGTTCTTTCCAGTGTGAAGTATGCAAAAAGAATTTCAAAAACCACAGGTATTTAAATCAACACATGAAAATTCATTCGAACGAACGACCTTATCAATGCGAGATCTGCAACATGAATTTTAAAGATAAGCATCCGTTAAAGCGACACATACAATGTCATACTGACGAAAAACCTTTTCAGTGCGAGCTCTGTGAAAAAGCATTTAGGAGAAAGTCACATTTAGTACGACATCAGAATTGCCATACAGACGAAAGACCTTTTGAGTGCGGGTTTTGTCCAAAAAGTTTTAAGTTGAAATCTGTTTTAATTGAACATCAAAGATGTCATTCCGAGGTGAAACCTTTTCAGTGTAACCTATGTGAGAAAAGCTTTAGACAGAAGTCGAATCTGCTTCAGCACGAGAAGCTACATTCTGGCGAACGGCCGTTCGAATGCAAAACTTGCTTTAAGAACTTTAAAAATAAAAAATATTTGAATCGACACATTAAGACACATTCCGAAGAGAGGCCTTACCAGTGCGATTTGTGTGATATGAATTTCAAGGATAAGCACTTATTAAAACGTCATTTATTGTGCCATTCGGGAGAAAAGCCGTTCCAATGCAATATATGCAAAAAGTATTTTAGAAGAAAATCACACTTGGTAAGGCACGAAAAATGTCATACGGGCGAGAGACCGTTTCCTTGCGACATGTGTGAGAAAAGTTTCAAAAGTGTTTCTGAATTAAACGGTCATCAAAGAAATCACATGAAAGTCATTTATATGATGAAATCACAAGATAAGAAATGCGATGAATCATAGCTCAAGTAAATTGTGATTTCTAATCGAATCCTTTTGTTCTACAATAGGATAAGATGTAATAATTTACCATACCTCGAAGAAGTGCAATTGTGAGTGTTCCTCACAGACCTGTAATGATAAAAATATAGTTATGTGGACCAAAAACTGTGTGAATTTAGAAGACATGTTCCAAGAAATACATAAAATTATTTTCAATATTCCTTCTTAGCGTCTCCAAAGTATAGTTAAAAATGAATTACGATAATAAAACTTATAAAGTAAATATTTACAAGATGAGATGATGATCCAATTTATGGCAGTTAAAATCATAAATAATAATAGAAAATTAATGTTTATTGTTATAGAGCACAAATTTTATCTGCAATATTTTCATTAAACTATTTCAATTTAAGATTTAGGAAAAAAATATATTTTGCAGAATTGATAAGAGTGAGAACTGTAGATATTGGCTATGAGATGTTTGGAAAAATATACTATTTGCTAGGTCAGAGTTAGATTTAATTTATTATATCTGCTATTGCATGCTTTATAAGGTAATTGAAAAAAAATCATGTAATGATTGAATGCTGATGATATCAGCATCATCACAATTGTAAATTACACAATACAAAAATACTTCTGTGATATTTTCAGAAATGGAGTGTAGAAAGTTGATCTTAGGAAGATAATTTTTATAATAGGGTGTATATAATGCATAATGTTGCTACATTTATACATAAATATAAATTTTTCTTTTATGTGTATTGAAGAATTTTTGAATTCACTGGAATTTCAATGTATAATTTATTGCACTTAACTGTAAATCATGGATTTAATTAACTGATTGTTTGGAGCAAAAATGTTTTCAGAAAAGCCAAACATTCTTGGGGCTCTTTGCTCATTATTGGAAATTAATGAGGATCATCATCGGAAGTTGACCAGAGAATCTATTTTGAATAGCACATGAGAATGTATAGGGAGTGTCAGATAGTACCAACTGTTCAATGAAGGAATTGGTACCATGTGATACTCCCAACACGTTTGTATTGCTAGTCACAAGACTTGAGACTAAGCACCCTATTGCCAAATGAGCACTTATAGGCTACACACTCAAAGTTGCTTGTCTTTTGACATGTTTTTACTCCAAGAAAAGCAATTTGAATTTAAATTATGTTTGAGGAATGAGTTAATTCACTGAAGAATGTTAATTCTGTTAAATATTAGCCTTTTTCACATTTATGATTATATAAAACCTTCAGTCTAAATTAAAAAAGTTTCTCTGTCTGGTGACAAATATATTAAATGGATAACTAGACATGTAAACAATGTTTACATAATGTAAAATTTGGAAAGCGTGGCCATTTAGTATGATGATGATTCAATTCATAATTAATATTATGAAATTAAAGTGCAGAAAAAAAATACTGAAATGCCTTCCGTTTTTATTTATATATTTAATTGTAATATATGATAAAGTGTAATTTGGAAAATGTGAATAGTTGTTGCCTTATCAAATTTAAGAATGTAATATTTGTCTATCTCTTACAATGTTCCTGTTAGATTGCCAAATTTAGACTTTGATTGCAAGATGAAATTTGTTTGAAGAAAAATGTATTACACAAGAAGCTCTTGTGCAATATGAAGCATTGCATAAATAAATGAAGATAACTTTTATATAATTATAACTGTGATTTCGATTTTGCCATGTGTTGCTCCTTTCTAGTCAAGGTTTGTTTTATATTAATAAATAAATCTTATGAAGTGTTTAATTTTTTTTTTGTTTTTGAAACATCATTTTTAAATTAAGGAATTTAAAATATCCAAGTTTATCCATTTTAAATTTCTCTCTGTAGGTATTCTGCATGTCTTTGTGTTTGATTTATAAAGTTAAGTACGGTATCAAATTTTTATTTAAAAATTAAAATATTCCAAAAGAAATTGTGCTTTGTATAATTATAGAACAAACACTAGAACAACATTTATGATTGCCTTGATTTTTGTTCAGGTGTCTTAGCAACTTGTATAATGTTTAAAATAATTTCTTGTGGATGAAGTTTTCATTATGAACAGGGCCGTGCCGTGCTATGATGCAGAGATGCGGCTGCATCAGGCGGCACCGTAATGGGGCGGCATTTCGAAGACTTGCATCATACTGAGAAAATCTACCGCACGGCCCTGATTATGAAGTATCAAGTATTAAGAATGAAGAGTAAAACGTTTGTTTGGTAATTTAATTGGTATGGAGAGAAATCAGTTCATGTAGCATATTTAAAGGTATGCCACATGTAAAAACATTGGATACTAATCTTTTAAGTACATGCAGTATGATTAAATATGCAATATGACCCTCCCATTGTCATTGAATGTATCTTTAGATAAGATTCGTTTATGACAAGTTCTCTAAGTAATCTTAGCTCTAACAGTACTTTTGTAATATGTTTAGTGTTGGTTCTGGTAATTATGTGGAAGTGCAATATAAGATTCTCTCTCAATTTTTGAAGGAAAATTGTCTAAATGAAGAAATTTTTTGATAAACACTAAATTTTTAATTAAACAGTTGAATTAGTGCAAAATATGTTCTGGGGCACTAAGGGTTTGCAAGCCCATTATGGCTTTGGCCAGGCCTATTCTGGGGTGACCAAACCTGTAATGAGAAGAGACAGTTTTATCTAGATCTCTTTGCATTGGTATTGCAAACAAATCCAGCAATTGTAATGGATACAATTGATTCTGGCCACATAGCTCTAGTAAATATATTTTGCCATTTTGAAATGATAGTGACTGGTATTATTTCTGAAGTAATTTTGGACAGTTTTAAATAACTGGTATGCTTTTTGACATCACTTGATAGCCATTCACACCTTATATTCAGAATTTAAAAATTGAAATTTTTAAAATCATTTTTTTTCTTATGCAAAGTAAATGATTTTGGATTACTTGTTACTTGTCATTTAAAACTTCCTACCAATCGACATTAATTCTCATTATTTTACAAGAAATAGTCAGACTAGGGACTCTAGGGACCCAAGATCAAACGAGGAAGGCAACTCAGAAATTTGAGAGTGGTGTGTCCCAGATGTATTTTGTCTCATCACCCAGCCACCCCATTATGACCTGGGAAAAAAGGCTCTTTTTCTTGCCTACAGGGTAGAGACTTAAAAAAGATATTTATGAACAGCAAATGATTTTAATGTGGTCCAAGTGTAAATTTACAAAAGGTTAAGTGAGCTGAAGTCTGGGGTGGCAAATACTTTAAAGTACCAAATTACTTTTTTGAAAAACACTAAAGGTTTATAAATATAACTTAAGGGCAATGAATATCAATTACTTACATCTTAAGAGTAAAATATTTCTTTTTAATGTTAAGATATATTATTATCAAAGTTGTGGCAAAAAAGTATTGCTAGGGGCAGAAAAATGTTAAATATTCCTATGAATAGAGTAATAGCAGTGGTAGCTATCAACAAATTGATTCTCATCTTGAAATGAAATCCTAAGAAGTGAATAGTTTTTGATGGTGACAATCATGCAGTTCTGGAATTAAATATTTTTAATTACAGTTTGCTTTAATTTCTTTGTCTCCTTAATTCCAATGGTTTTCAAACTTTAAATCAGGTAATTAATTAAGGTACTTAATTCTTAAATATATTATCGCATATTATCAGGAAATAGAAAACTAGATGTGAAAGGCAAGTTGTTCAATTTGTTTTTCAAAATTTGAACAATAGCAAGATTCTGTAATTAGAATCCAATTATTCCTTCATAAGAATTCATAACTTACGAATCTACAGGGTGACGGATATATTGTTAATTGAAAATTAATGTTCCATTGTTTGTTTCAGATAAGAGAACATACTTGAATCAGTCATTTTTTAACATATCTAATTGAAGAACGTGTAATTGCTACTTGTTGGCTTTATGAAAAGGAAACAACGGGAAATAATGAAAAAGGTGCATTCAGACTTCCAACAGAGATTTGGACAACAGCCTCGTCCAAAAAGAACACTTTTCCTCGTATCTCACCGTAGGGGTGTGACTATGCAGATGCGAGGGAAGGAGAATATGTAGCGAAAAGAGGTGATTACGTTTCACGCTCTCGATTATTACGACCACACAGACGACAGCGAGAAACAGAGAGCGTGAAACGTCATCACCTCTTTTCGCCACATATTCTCGCTCGCGTCTGCATAGTGGCACCCCTATGTGGGTATGTACTGTACAAACTCAACGGGAATGGTCGGATGGTCGAGATGTATATAGCATCTGTCTACCGTTCCGGAGACAAGGAATCGAGCCCGGGCTAGCGACCCCAATATTTTTTTCGAATGATCTGTCCGGAGATAGGGCTTACCAGTGGATAAAACTATATTGAAACTGGTAGTTTGGTCGTGGATTCGCGCCCGGCCAACGTGTAGTTTTCTGGATTTTATTCACGTGTCTAATATCTAATTGTCAGTTTCCCATAGAAAGTCCTCCGAGAGACATCCTTCTTGGCAGATCGCTCGTGTTTTGCATTATCGTATTTCACCAAATCAAACCTTTTCGGATTACAAATATGTCGGTTTCCGTATCTCATCATTTGGCCTTCACCATCGTGGGCTAACCGAATCCATGATGGGCTCGGAAAAAGCCCTCTTAATGTCTAAAGTGCGAAAAGAATTTTAAAAAAAATATATATATTTATATATTTTTTAATCATTAGCGTAGTATACTGTATATAGGCTATATATACTACGCTAATAATTGATAGGATTCTCTCTCCCTTCTCAATGGATGTGTGCAGTCTTACAGCTTCTCTCTTCGCTTAGCTAGCTGTTTTATCTGTTGGTAAGGCCTTCTCCGGAATAACTCGTCGCGAAATATTCCACTCTATGCGATTTTTAATCATAGATAGGAATCGAAGCCAAGTATTTTGGCTTGATTCTGCTTAATGGACCCTGTAAAGTAGTGACCTTTTAGCGGAGTGGGGACAAAAGAGGCGCGACCTTGTCAATTGGACCCACGTGCGGTCGGGTAATACCACTTGTAAAGTATTGACTTGTAAACAAAGGAAGCGCCGGCTTTGTTAATTGGAGCCACCTGCAGTCAGACGGTAGGACATTTATCATATTGTAAACAAACGAACGTAAACAAGTGGCGGACGTTTGTGTAAGCTTCACTCTCGTCGGATGACGGCGGACCTGAGTGTAAGCTGTTCGGGCATAAAAAAAGGGTTGTGATTGGTCGGAAGTTCCCGTTCCAAAATCCCTTAAATTGCGGGGCGAACGAGAGTCAAGAAGAGAAGGGCAAGAGACTGATACACGGTTGTCTCAGGCACACTGGAAAGCCCGCTGAGCGTAAAGAGAGTGTTCTCCTCTGTTGATCTTCTCAGAGACGGGTTAGTGCTGAGACCGGACCGACCGTGCAGTTGAGCCGACTCCACAAGCTGACTGAGGTCTCTCTCCAAAGGTTATTAGTTCCCAGACGCCAATCTGGCACGTGAATTCACCAGGCATGGTCATCTTGTACATGTACTATGTTTTCCAACTTGTACTTTCTACTACTGTAAATATATTCAATTTGAGTGTGGAGGTGTACTTTCCGACGAACCTGATTCATTACATCGAGTCGTGAAACACAAGAAAACAACTCAATCAGACGGAGTTGGGAAGGAACGGCAATAAGATCTTCACTGATCCTACGTTACAATTTTACGTTTAGTTCTTTTTTGGATGCATCTGTTATTAACTTAATCATTACAAACTCGGAATTAATAGATAATATAATAAATTTTAACATTTTAAATATTCGTTTTATAAAATTTAAGAGAATTTTTTTTTTTCTGATTACTGACTAACTCGTTTCAGGCTTTGACTCGAGCATTTTCGTGTTATTTCTTTTAGTCAGGGTGCTTTCATAGCAAGTAAAGATGTGGGATGTAATATGCAACTTGGATCTCGGGATTTTGCAACTCGTTTCGGCTAAAAAAAAATTCGACAGAGTTTACTACGTTATCGATTTGTCAAGAACTTTTGACATAATTGATCACAATATTTTATAGTCGAAGTTCTCTTTTCTTCCTTTATCAATATTTTAACACAATTGTTTTCTAGCATTGCTTATCAAACTGGAGTTAATCACTTTATTTCAGAATTGGTAATTACTAATAACGAACTACACTCGTATCAAATTCATTGAGGCCCAGACTCATCCGTAAAGATACACTTATAAACAGCAATTTTGCATTAAAAAGATAAAATTTAAGTACTGATGATTGGCTTTAATTTTTTCCACGTCTCGTTTTCTCCAGTTCTTATATTAGGCTAAGTTGTAACTAAACAGAACAAAATAAACCTGAAAGAACACACATATTTTTGCAGTAATACGACTAATATTTTTATGACATAATTTTGTGTAATTTTTAAACGAATAATGCGTCATTTTCATTATCCTAACTTCGATCATTAAGTACAGTGTATATATATATATATATATATATAATCTGATGATGGTTCGGATAACAAGTTCATGTTTCATCAGAAGGATCCGGTTTAGCTTCTGATTCACAATTAACATCACCTTTATCTTGGATGATCTAGGAAGAACATCATTACAGAAGGCAATTACGCAAGAGTAGAGCTGAGGCATTTACCAGAAACGATTATTTTTACGACGAGTAGTTAGCTAAGAGGTCAAATGCGAACAGACTTATTACTATTTCCATTCAATTTTTTTTTAAAATAATTATGTGAAATGTTTTAAATTCGTAAAGACGAAAATAAACACAGTACAAAACTAGAATTTCAAATAAATTCACGAAAAAAAAAAATATTCAAATTCCTACTTAAAGTATGATTCTTTTCTTTGTTTTGAATTTTCATTTAACATAAAATTAATTTTTTAGGTTGTAATTTTAATACGTGTATATGTATATAGGCCTGTGTATATGGATGTTTTCTGATTGATGACTGCGGTTTGAATAATAAATACGACTCGAAGTACTTTGTAAGTTCTTCGAGTCATGTAGGAAACATCCATTGCATCGTTACGAAAACGTGTAATTTTCCTGACGTACCCTAGTAATTGAAAGCTCTTAATTAAAACGATGCCGTTACGCACGGGCGACCAGGACGGCCGCTCCAAAAAATTACGCAGCGGTTTGTATCGGCTTTATCAAACACCCGATTTTCCTGCTATAAAAATTTTTTTGGACTAAATAAAAAGGAATTTTGCCATCTCGGAAAACCGAAAAATCAGTATAAAGGAAAAAAAAAGCTAAACAAATTTCATTTAAAAAGACGAAATTCTCATATATAACAATATACTATTATTTACGTATTTATTTACAGAAAGAATTTTTATTAGATCAAAGTTTTAAGTTAGATTTTAATATTATTTATTTTTACAAAATTTATCCGATTGATCGTCGATTGTTATCACGCACTAGCGCAATTGGTTTCGTAATTATTAAATTTATTTATATATGTGTGTATATATATATATAAAAGGAAAATAAATGTATAGGATTAAACATGGTGGAGTGCAGAAATAATTTATTAAATCTGCGATAGAAAATAACGAAGATATATCGGCAAGTAGGTATCGACGGTGCAAATATTTCGGAAAGTAGGTCAAGTGGGTGTCCTCATTCTACCTTTTATTTAGCTCAGCGAGTACGAGTAACGATGCCGTACGCACGTTACTAAATTTACTAATACGACGTGTAATTATAAAATATGTAACACAATCGAATCATCGAAAGGTAAATATAATAAATAACCGACGGAGAAATAATTTTAAAATTTGCCGGAAAAATAAATCAAATTACGTTCGCTTAGGTGATGTTTATGTTTTTCCTTCAGGTGGCGCCAAAACTGTGTATAGAGTTGAATTGCGCTATCTCTTTCACGTGTGGCAATTCAAATATTTTATTTGCGAAACAAAGCATTAATTGGTGTTTAAAACGTTAATTTAACAAAGAATAGTTAATTCACGTGACGTGGACTACATACAATTTCTATCCATTAAAAGCATTGCCTAATTTTGAATGAGAAAGGGTGCTCGTAAGAGGGAGACAGGAGATGAACTTCGAATCAAAAGATAGTAAGTGTATATAATTAAATGCCGATTTGCGCATGAAATTGATTAATTTCGATTTAATTATTCGATTTCCTCACGTGGAGGGAGGAAAAAAACCTTCGATTACTTAATGGCTTTTTTAACGTTACAGAATTCGATAAAGATGCGCCGTTTAGCATTAAGAAAGAACCCGTTTGGGATAATGATATCGAGATAAAGCAAGAGTTGGAGTTTGAGGAAGTATGCAGGAATATCAAAGCGGAATGTGATGATTGGAATATGGTTAAAGTTGAGCAAGATATACAGGTAAATAGGCTTAATTTGGATGATGATGATCTTGCATTATTGATGATGACTTCATTGTCGGAATGAGCGTAAGAGTAAGACGGTACATGCAATATGCTACTGCGTGTAAGACACCGATTTTAATAATATCCTAGTTAAAACTGTTCTGCGATAAATGTGTTTACGAATAATAGTAC